GGTTGGCGGTTCCCTGCTAGGCAGACCAGCCTGCAGTATGGGTGGGCCCTGATTCAGAGGCTTGGAGAGCGACAGGTAAGGATGAGAGAAGAGAGTATAGAAAGGACTGCGGAGAAGGGGAGACAGCCGAGGGAAAAGTTGAAGGGGGGGTGGGGAGCAATTCAGTCACAGTCTGTGGGTGGTTAGCGCCGACCCTCCTTACCGTGACCATCATGATGAGGTTCGCCTTATGTCTTGAATCTTGATGTGTTCTCTGAAGTGGACAGAAAGACACACCTGCTTCCTAAACTTACATGTTCTCAATGTATCCTTGTTGTAATCCTTTTGTTACATGTCTCCGGTGGGTCTCCTATTACTTCTCCCTCCGCCCCTCCCCCCCACTTGTGCATGTTCTCTCTCTCAAATGAATAAATAAAATCTTTAAAAAAAAAAATAAAAAGGCAAAAAAAAAAAAAAGATGATTTAAGGGCGCCTGGGTGGCTCAGTCGTTAAGCATCTACCTTCGGCTCAGGTCATGATCTCAGGGTCCTGGGATCGAGCCCCACGTCGGGCTCCCTGCTCGGCGGGAAGCCTGCTTCTCCCTCTCCCTCTGCCTCTTCCCCAGCTTGTGCTCTCTCTCTCTCTCAAATAAATAAAATCTTTTTTTAAAAAAGGATGATTTATACAAGCTCTTAGCAGTGTCAATCACACCTTAAACCTGAGGTAAATAGTAGCTATAATGATGATGATGATGATAATGATGATGATAATTCAGCAACTAAAGGTTTATCTGCTGCTCTTTGGGCCACCAAAAAGAAAATATTGGCTCTCAAATAAACAGTAAAAATCTAGGTTAAGAAGCCTGAAGTCTCACTTCAATTAAATGTAAAATTACCTGGATGATGAAAAAAATTTATCTGGATGATAGTCTGAATTTAAAAACTGGATGGGGGGGGTGCCTGGGTGGCTCAGTTGTTAAGCGTCTGCCTTCAGCTCGGGTCATGATCCCAGGGTCCTGGCATCGAGCCCTCCATTGGGCTCCCTGCTCCGCGGGAAGCCTGCTTCTCCCTCTCCCACTCCCCCTGCTTGTGTTCCCTCTCTCACTGTGCCTCCTCTCTCGCTGTGTCTCTCTGTCAAATAAATAAAATCTTTAAAAAATAAAAAAAAATAAAAAAATAAAAACTGGATGGGATTAAAGTAACTAAACATTTGCTGTTAAAAAATGCTTATTAAATTGGGCTCAAGCTTCCTATTGTTTGTATATTTCCTCTCTAGACCTAAGGCACCAGCATCCAGTTGCTCAAGACAGAAACTTGGAGACCAAGTCCTGTTAATGTCACAATCATCTCTTGATTTTATTTCTTCTTATTCAACATCCTGGGGACTACTTTACTTTGGGCCACCCAACGTGGGGCTTGAACTCCCAACACCAAGATCAAGAGTCGCATGCTCTACCAACTGAGCCAGCCAGGCGCCCCATGGGCCATCATTTCTTGCCCAGACTATTTCCAAAGTCTCCTACTAGTTTGTTTGTTCTACCATCTGTCACGATACGCCAATACAGGGATTCCTAACCATTTTTGGGCCATGGAATCCTTTGGCAGTCTAATGAAGTTTATTTTCAGAATGTTTTTAAATGCATAAAACAAAGTACAAAGGATTACAAAAAAAACCAATTACACTGCAATACAGTTATCAAAATATTTTCTAAAAGGAATGTGTGCTGTAGTAACTTACGAGCTTCTTAACACAGTTCTCCTTAGGGGTCTAATAACTACAGTTGACCCTTGAACAACACAGGGGTTAGGGGTGTCAACCTAGCATAGTGGGAAATCTGCATGTAACTTTTGACTCCCCCAAAACTTAATAGCCTACCGCTGACCAGAAGCCTTACGGGTAACATAAAGTTGGTTGATACATATTCTATACAGTATACATATTATATACTGTATCCTTACAACAAAGTAAGCTAGAGAAAAGGTTATTAAGAAAATCATGAGGGGGTACCTGCCTGGCTCAGTCAGTTTGATTTCGGCTCAGGTCATGATCTCAGGTTTGTGAGATCAAGCCCTCTGATGGGCTCCGTGCTGGGCCTGGAGCCTGCTTAAGATTCTCTCTTTCCTTCTCTCTCTGCACATCTGCTCCCCTCTCCCGCTCTCTCTCTCTCTCAAAAAAAAAAAAAAAATAAAAGGGGGGGGCGCCTGGGTGGCTCAGTCGGTTAAGCATCTGCCTTCCACTCAGGTCATGATCCCATGGTCCTGGGATCGAGCCCCACATCGGGCTCCCTGTTCAATGGGGAGCCTGCTTCTCCCTCTCCCTCTGCGGCTCCCCCTGCTTGTGCTCTCTCTGTCAAATAAATAAATAAAATCTTAAAAAGAAAAGAAAATCATAAGGAAAACACATTTATAATATTGTACTGTATTAATCGAAAAAAATCCACCTATAAGTGGACCCATGCAGTTCAAACCCATGTTGTTCAAGGGTCAACTGTACTGTAATTTCAAAGAAGTGATGAATGTATAAATGATATTTCAAGACGTCTGCGTCAACTGCAGTGTGATATGAAACCATCTTTGATTTCTATCGGTGACAAAGTCATAGGTACTGTTAATGCCACCACAGTTTGCTGCTTACGTTTGTAAATAAAGAAAGCGCTAAATTTCAGACAGTTCGATAAAAACGAAGTTGTGATTTTTTTTCCCCATCCAAGTTCATGTATTCTGTGAGCTCTATACATGGACCATTTGGACCATTAAAAACCCTTACCTTAATCTACTGGTGCAAAAACTGCTTGAGGTGACTGCAAAGATACAGAGAGGTTTTTGTTTTTAAATGTGGAGAAGAAAAACATGAAAACGGGGATCATTAACATCCAAAACGTATGCCATTAATTCCTATACATTTTTGCAAAGTGGGCTAGAAGCCTGGGATTCCTAGCAGCCCAGGAAAAGGTTGTCCCCAACTTTCTCAGCTTAGACCTCGATTAGCCACCTCTTGCCTAGGCTTACCGGACCCTCCTAGCGCAGCCCCCGCCGCCCTCTCCTGCTTCCTCCAGCATCACCATCCCTTCCCGTCCAGCACGGCCCAGCCAGGTCGAGACGACTTCTCGAGGTCGAGACAGGACCGAGACGGGCGCCGCCGGCCCACCCCTGCGGAGGTTAGCCCTCGGGCCACTCCCTCCGGAGCCCAGGCCCGAAGTCCCTTGACTCGGACGTGACGTCTCCGCTGCCCGCCCTGGGAGTCAGCCCCGCCCGCTCGGCTCCCTCTGCCTTCGGGAAGGGTTACCACTTCGGCATCTACCGCGGGCTGGGTGCCTCACCCACGAAGCACGGCGCCCGTGGCACACTGACCGGCTCCTGAGGGACGCACTTACGGAAGCGCTGCAAAGCGAATTCCATTTCTCCCGGACGGTCCGGTTTGCCAAGTTCCCACAGGAGCGCGGGCGCGCGCGGGGGGCGGAGTGGGGACCGCCACCCGCGGCCTTGGGCCTCTGGCACAATCCTCTAAGCTCCGCCCTCGGCGGCGTCTCCTAAATACGTCCTTCCGCCCGCTTCCTCCTCTCTCCTTTTCGCCGCCATCCTGCTCTGCGTGGCTGGCTGCTTCTCACCATGGTAAGTGCATCCGTTACCATCGGCTCCGGGGCGGTTTCCCGAGACCTGAGGCCCCTGCGAGCTCGCTGGCGCCGCGCACTGCGTCGAGGTGCGGGCGCCTTTTAGAAGCCTTTTTCCAGGGAAGGTCGAGTTCGGCCACCGCTCCAGTCGGCGGGCCTAGCGGGGAGCTAGCAGGCGTTCGAGGAGGGGTCGGCTGAGCTGGCCATGCGAGGTCGGAGGGTGGTGCTTTGTGCGCCGCCCAGGCTAGCAGGGGTTCCCGCTGCCCTTCGCCCTTCTGGAGCGAACTGTGATTCTGGGGCAGGGAGAGAAGTCGGGGAGGGGGGGGGGTCCACTGCAGAAACCGTGGCCGCCACGCGCGCCGGGCATCGAGAAGGGAATGGGGTCTGCTGGTTTTCGGAAGATTTTTTTAAGTTGGCGGCCAGGATCATACCACGTTATGAGCTTCCAGAACTTGTTAGTCCTTTGTTAGGGACTTGGGCATCTCCCCGTGGAAGCACCTGGAAGGAGGGGTGCTGCGGTGTGGATCAGTATGCCATTCGGGCGTTCTTCGTAAAATGCAAGCTGCGGACAGTTATGGTCGTGGGTTTTAACCTGTGATCGTTTTTCTAGAAATTAAAATTGCTCTATGCTTCTAGGTGTGGAGAGGATCGGTATCTGGTTTTTTTAGTTGGCAGGAAATTTACAACTGCTACAGTGAGCTGGGAGAGAGGAGTGTAGTCTTCGCCTTCTTTGTAATGAGCCCCTATTATGCAAGGTGCAAGGGTGTGTCGGACCACGTTGGCCAGGCTTGAGACTACCTGCCATTTCTGGGTTGTCCCCCAAACTTGAGCGGGAGTGGTTGGGGTTGGACTTAGATGACCCAAGTTCTTAAAACCAAAAAATGAAATGAGAAATTGGGAAAGTCGTCCTTGAAAACGATATTTTAAGTACAGGAGAATTTATACCAGAATGGTCAGTGATGGGGGTGCCTGGGTGGCTCAGTTGTTCAAGCGGCCCAGTCTTGATTTCGGCTCCGGTCATGATCTCAGGGTCCTGGGATCCAGGCCTGCATCTGGCTCCGCCCTCAACGAGGAATCGGCTCGGCTGGGGAACTGACTCTCCTGCCCCTCCCCCTCGCTCTGGCGCACGCGCTCCCCATGTCGTTAGCTACCCCTGTTTTACATAGTGCACCGAAACTCATTGATTTGCAAGTGCTAGATTGTTCTGGTTGACAAAAAGCTGGGTTCTTTTGTGAAAACCAAGTTCCCCAGCCATCCCCAGTGGTCCGCTGGGTCCTGGGGTGACAGCAGGGAAGATGGGAAGGTACCCTAGCCTTGGAAGCATAGATGACCTGGGTTTGAATCCCAGCTCTGCGCATTAGTAGTAGGTTACTTACTTTCCTGACTTTTATTGCTGATTTTTATTCGAACAATGGGGATTATGGTATCTGCCTCCAGAAGTTGTGAGGAACAGCAAAGGGCATGATGGGTTTAGCATTGAGGTTGTTTTTGGTATAGATGAAGCATTCAAATGTTTGTGGATTGAGGATGTTCCTGACTTTGGATCAGTGGAGCAAGCTCTGGTGTTGCTGTCTAAATTGATTACGTTTCCTTCCCAGTCTTCTCACAAGACTTTCAGAATCAAGCGATTCCTGGCCAAGAAACAAAAGCAGAATCGTCCCATTCCCCAGTGGATTCGGATGAAAACTGGTAATAAGATCAGGTAAGGACCCCCACAACCACCTGCTTGTTTTTGTGGTTGCTACGTTATTTTTTTAATTAATTTATTTTTTGGTGGGCAGCAAAGCAAGGTTTATTGGGCAATAGCGAAGTGTTAGTACAAAGCTCCCGAGGAGGGAGGGGACCCGAGAGGGTTGCCCTGTGGTGGTTCTTTTAACGCGCTTCCTCAGTGTTACTGGACAGCAACCCAGCATTGGGTCCCTTTTGCAAGATAGAGACTTTGAAGCTGAGGAGTGCAAGACCATGACACCAGTATAGAACTCTTGATTTGATTGAATTACAGATCTAAGTGGGATTAGTTTGCTGGTGTGAAGACTAAGATGTGAATTGGGGGCCTGTTTCCTTAATTCTTCTGGCCAGTTAAGACAGGTGAAGATCACCACACGCTGTCGCCTTACAGGCCAGTTAGTTGCTGCCTTTAGTTTATCCTATACTGAACACTGGCTTTTATTATTTATATTAATATGTATAGGAGATGTCTCACTGTTAGAAGTGCAATGAGATCTTAAAACCCCTGGTGTTGCCTCATAATACTGAGAAAAGAGCCTGAGTCACTTGGCGAAATGGTTACTTTGGAGCTCAGCCCTTGTACGAGCTTGATGAGTTTCTCTTGAGAACCTCAGACATCATAGTAATGCCCCTTTTTAATGTGTTGACATGAACATAGGCTTCTGTGTCATATCCCCATCTGGTGGTGGGACTTACCGTTCCCGGGTTATTGTGCGCAATGAAAGTGTACGGTGAAGAGTATACACTCAGCCCGGAGAACTGGCAACAATTGATTTTTCTATTACCTCAGCTGTCTTGCAACTTTTTGAAGTTACTGAAAGCAGGTTGCAATTACAGTGCTTCCTTTTGTGGAAGTACTGACATTATCCTGCTGAAAGAAAATCTGTCAGTCATGTTTGATTTTGCCTTAATGAGGGTAAAGTCGTGACCGATTGACATGGACAATTCTGAGATGGCCTTAGCTCTGCAAAGCTCTTGCTTTGATTTTGAAATGATTGGGTGTGTTAATCTCTTTTGTAAAATTTAGTGGGGGGGCTTTTATATGTGTGTGACCCACGATGTAGATAGGTTGATTTTGATGAAGTTTAGAAGGGGGGGTTCAATGGAAATGTGTCTGGGTCTACCCCCCAGGTGTGTTGAATCAAAAGCAGGTGGGTGTACTCTTGGGAGGGGAGGGAGCTTCCCCACCCGTCTAGTCTCGATTAAGAACCAGTGTGTTTTCCTAGCCTGGAATCATTTTGAGGTAAAAATTTGATTTGACGAGTTCTTAAACACATCTAGCAAATCACTTTTTACTCTCTAAAAGAGAGCTCCAAACCTGTTAAAGGAAGGAAAAATGGGACCCTTTGCCTTCCAAGGATTTTATGGTACTGACAAGGCAGAGTTTGTGGTGAATGAGGGCAGCGAAACTGAGGTCAGACCGCCTTTGTAACCTGCAGTTTCTTTCTGTGCAGGTACAACTCCAAAAGGAGGCACTGGAGAAGAACCAAGCTGGGTCTGTAAGGCATCACACGTCATGAGATGACACACCTAATTGGCATACATATTTAATTAAGCTGCGTGAAGATCATGTGTTCTATCATTCTGTAAACATCCTTCCTACCTGGCCATAGACTTGTCTTATCATGGAAATGATTTTTCTCTCTGACTATGCCTGTGCACCAGTAGGTTGGTTCAGTAATAAATGTGAGACCTCTCGGCTCTACTACGGTTGTGTTTCTGATTTGCGAAGTACTGAATTCCCCACCTGTCAGATCATGCACAGCACTGTCAGAACTTCCTGCAGTGATAGAAATGTCCCTTGACAAGCAAGTATGTAAAGTGTGGCTAGGGGGTGCCCGGGTGGCTCAGTGCCTTAGGCCCAGGTCATGATCTTAGGGTCCTGGGATCGGGCTCCCCACTGAACAGGGTATCTGCTTGCCCCTCCCCTGGCTTGAGCTCTCTCTTCTCAAATAAATAAAATCTTAAAAAAAAAAAGTGTGGCGAGTTTGAGTAAAGAACTGACTTGAATTTTTATTTAATTTTAATTAAGAAGCTCCATGTGGCTAATGGCTCTTAACACCTTATGGGAAGTGAGTATGTGTGTCCTCATACCTCTGGGTAGCACATTCTTAAATAGCATCTTTAGCTGCTATTCCGTAACGCCAGTCTTTTCACAAGTCTATATTTGTAAAAAAAATAATCTACAACTAAAGCTAATCTGATTTTTAAAATCAAAGTTCATTTAGTGATAATGTACAGTTTATAATAAAATTGTAAAATACATCTGATGGTTGAAACAGTATCATTCATGTAAAAACATTGCATGTAAAAGTAGTTCATAGTTCACAAAATTGCATATATTTTGCTGGTAGCTCACGAGAACGTTACAATAAGTTTACTCAGGATACAGAACAAAATTCACAGGCTTCACATTAGTACTATAAGATTTTACACTGAATCCATTGACATTTCTGTTAAGGTACGCTTGAAATAATTGATTCAGACTACCAACGACATTTTATTGTATACCAAGATCTATTGGTTTTACAATATGGCTAGTAATCAGTTATTTCACCAATAATTTAAATGAGATCTAGTTTTAACACCACTGACATACACCCTTAGGATAACTAAAATGCACTAGCAGCTTTGATTTTCATTTTCATGAATACATACAAATCTGTACTTTTATAGTTAAAATTTGTACGAAAAGTCAAGCCCTGAAGTATTTTACCCCCAAGAGAAAAGTTCAGATGTTAAAACATTGTTAAAAAAACAAAAAGTATGTGAAAGGATTTTTACTTACTGTTGAACCCCTGCACCACTTAATAAATGAAATTTAACCTGGTTAAATTCACACTGGTTCTTAATCGAGACATGTTAACATTTTGCCGTTCTAGAGTCAAATTTCTATACCTCACAAGGTTAAAGCTGGAATGCCATTAACGAATAGCGGTATAGAAGTGGAAGGACTTGGGTGAATTCAACAAAAAAGTACATTGTATTACATAACGTGCAGTTAATAGTTCAGTGGTAATCTGTTTAGTGGTAACGTGAATAAAGTATTCTAAGTGACCTTCCTTCAAGACTTCCTTGTATCTTTACCATGAGAAACAATAGCACTTAATTGTTTCCGTAGCATGCAACTGTTAAAAGGTACCCATTCTAGCCCTACCATGAAGTTAGTAACTCCGAGAAGTAGCCATAAGCCACAGGGAACTTGGGCCTACTGCAGTGCTCCTGCATGTTGTACAGGGAAATCAGGCGAGGAATAGAAGTCAGCAGCCTTACCCTTCGCTTAATTCTAAGTGGGTGCGTTGGAAAGTAATAAATAGCCTCATAAAATAAATGGCAATAAACTCTACCTGTCCAAGGTGAATGTATTTTTTTCATAAAGTGTAGGCAGTGTTCCTAGAAATCCCATTGGGAAAAAACCAAATACTCCTATAGAAAAGTGCCCAAGTTTGTCCTGTGTGTAAAAATCTCTTCGGGTGCATTTTATAATCCAAAATGATTCATACTACTCAAATACATAGAGTATAAAAGCACACCAACAACAAAAGGAATGATTTCCAATGAGATGGGAATGAGGGTTAGAGGAGATTAAGGGAGTCTCACATATTACCAGTTGATGGAACTGCCTTTTGTGTCATTAGTTAGACACATATGGAATGAGTCTGTAAATGTGGTATAGGAAGAACAAGCTTTGAACTTGAACAGTGTTACAGGTTCTTAATTCAGGAACATGGCTTCAATGCTTTATGACATAGGAAGCAACTCCTCCAAACAGGCAATTGGTTTGATTTCTTAGATACTAGAAAAAAAAAAAAAAAGCACTAAAAAAATTACTTGTGGGATGCCTGGGTGGCTTGGTTAAGTGTCTGCCTTCGGCTCAGGTCGTGATCCCGGGGTCCTAGGATCGAGTCCCACGTCAGGCTCCTTACTCAGGGAGTCTGCTTCTCCCTCTGCCTGCCGCTCCCCCTGCTTGTGTGCTCTCTCTCTCTCTGACAAATAAATAAAATCTTAAAAAGAAAAGAAAATATTACTTGTAACAATTAGCAACAGAGGAACAACATTAAAAAATCAAAATACAGGGAACATAGGACCTGAGGTCCCCAAGGTACCAAAGGACAGAATCAGACTTATTCACATTAGAATTTTTAAAAAATACAGTTAAAGGAAAAGCTAACTGGGCTCCGCACAGCAGGTTAAATACGCGACAACTTCGAATGGAAGTGATCTGCTCCTCTCATAGTTCTGAGAATGTGCGCTCACATCCAGTGCCCTAGAGACAAAAATAGCAAAAGCACAGGGCGCCTGGGCGGCTCAGATGGTTAAGCATCTGCCTTCGGCTCAGGTCATGGTCCCAGGGTCCTGGGGTCTCGAGCCCCGCATCGGGCTCCCTGCTCGGCGGGAAGCCTGCTTCTCCCTCTCCCACTCCCCCTGCTTGTGTTCCCTCTCTCGCTGTGTCTCTCTCTGTCAAATAAATAAATAAAATCTTAAAAAAAAAAGACTCTTCCCTGAAACTTCTATGCCGTTAACTTCTAAAATTTCATCATTAACAGCTAATAGTCCTGTGCTTTGAGCCAGATTTGGTCTGGATATAAAGATCCCTGGGACCTTCTCTAAGCCATGCTGTATGACCCTGACACTGGAGCCATCCCGGATGTAGAACCCTAAGGGTTTCTCAGTGCCGTATTTGTCAAAAGACGAACCCTACGATGTGTTTCTGGGAGAATATCCACATCTATAATAGAAGACACAGGTGTGAAGTCTTGGGGCATACTAATGACAATACGTGGCTTTTTTCTATGGTTGTCAGGACGCAATAGATTGGTTAAAAACATTTTTCTTCTTTATTAGTGTGTCTGTACCAAAGGCACTGGAGTCTGCTTTTTCCCTTTTTTTTTTTTTTTTTGTATAAAAATCCTAAGCTAGTGGATTGGCCATTGAAACAGCTTTGTGATAATTATCATCATTGTAGGTAGTAAGTCTCCATGGATGTCTGTGTAGCCTACTAAAACGTCAACGTTGGGTATCTTCTGAACATGTCGCAGTAATCCGTAAAACCCAAATTTTCCAGGTTTTGATCTGTCCAGTGAAAACCAACGAAATTCAGCTCCAAACTTGCTCTTCCCCTCCATGGTGTCCAGGCAGCTGCGGGCCAGCCCGTGCCAGTGGCTGTGGTTCATGCTGAGGCCCGGCCGCCCCTCGGGAGCGCAGGGAGTGAGTGCAAGGCCCATGGGTTGGGGACGCGGCACCTGCCGAGGGGCGGCCTGGGGTGGCCTGGGCTCGGGTCTCTGCGCAGAGCTCTGCTCAGCGGGCTCCTCACGCGGCAGGACCGAGGGTCAGACTAATGCCCGTCTTCAATACAAGTAGGAATCCTCTGATCCAGGGGTTATCAAACTGGTCTGCCTGGTCTTGTAGAGCCTGTGAACTAAATTTCTGCATCTTCAAATTGTTGAGAGAAATCGAAAGACCATTTTGGCATTTACTAAATTTAGATTTACTGGGCATTGATGTGTCAGGCACCGTTCCCTAATTACCTGTGGAATGAAGGTGAAACTATAGCAAGAGAAAAGGGGGGGGGAATCAAGTTTGGTGGCAACCCCGTATCTAGTTTGTAGGGACCCCATGCTGGGCATAGCAGAAGCAGCAAGTGGTAGGGGTGGCATGGCACCAGGGGTCCCTAACCTAGGACCCCGTTAGCAGGCTCCGATGACCATAATCCTTGAGGACCAGGGTTGGCCAGAAATTGGAAGAGTGGGCTACAGAATACCAACTAGCCAGCCTAGGAAGCTGGGACCTGCGGCTGTGTGGCTAGCAGTAAGCGTTGGCCTGCTATAGAGGCTCTCCCGGGCCAAAGCGGAGGGACTTGGTCTAATTGGCAGCCATGTGATGTGATGTTTTGGAGCATTAAAAATACCTTAGCCTCACTCTTCAGGGGAGGTTGGCACAGGGCGAAGGTGGCACTGATGCAGAGGGAGCTTTCCTACAGACCTTACATAGGTAGTATTAGAAATGAGAGGGGAGGGGCGCCTGAGGGGCTCAGTCGTTAAGCATCTGCCTTTGGTTCAGGTCAGGATCCCAGGGTCCTGGGATCGAGCCCCGCATCGGGCTCCCCGCTCCGCAGGCAGCCTGCTTCTCCCTCTCCACCGCTTGTGCTCTGTCTCAAATGAATAAATAAAATCTTTAAACAAAAAGAAGAGGGAGACTTAGCCAAGATCATACCTACCTTGGGTTTGTAAGGACTGAAAATGTCTGTAAAAGATCAGTTGTACGAGGTGTTCTCCCATTGTACAGATTCAAGAAGGCTCTGCAGCTCTCATTCCTGCTAATATAGCAACTAGCATTTTGAGTGCTTAAGCTGCCAGGTAGCTGCTGTTAGCAGGAGTGGCAATGAGACCCAGATGGAACAGAGTGAAATATTAACCATGTACCCTTCACTGAACCTGTTCTATTCCAGAGAAGTGAACATCAAACCCCTGCCCACACAAGACCCTGGTGGGTGTTTGGGCAAC